TTGTTCCCAGCGTATTACGGGATTAAGCACAGCCAATCAGTGCCCCTTTCAGAGAATCTACAGCTACTGAGATAATTATGCTTCCATTCTGAGTCATATACAATGGGTAGCATGTTAGCCTGGAGCTGCTGGAAGATAACTCTGAACCACATGAAAAGTCTACCTGAGAAGGAAGACACTGTAAGGTAAAGCAGAGTGAGAGATGGAGAAATGTGTCACTTGAACCACAGGTTCCACATGAATGGGGCTCACCTTCTGGACCTACCCCATTGTGTGAGTCAGTAAATTATCTAAGTTAGTGAGAGATAAGTTTATGCTATTTGCACACGAATCCTGATTAATTCACTGATATATTATTGGTAAGTATATCTCTATAATGCTGGTACTCAGCTTATTATAATAGCATAAGTAATTAATGAGTTTAAAATATTCCTTGAAATTGAAAGTGTTAGCCACTCAGTTGCATCTGGCTCTTTACAACTCCATGTACTGTATCCTGCTAAGCTCTTCTGTCCAGGGAATTCTCCAGACAGAATACTGGAGTGAGTTGCCATTCCCTTCTCCAGGGGATCTTCCTGACCCAGGGATTGAACCTAGGTCTCTCGCACTGCAGGCAGATTCTTTACTGTCTGAGCCACAAGGGAATCCTCATAGGTTCTTAAATATCAAGACATTAGAAATAAGCAGCCTTTGGTGTGCAACACTGTGAGCTGTAAAAAATGGCAACAGGGCTTTCCTGGCAGTACAGCGGTTAAGAATCTGCCTTCCAGTACAAGGAATGCAGTTCAATCCCTGGTCGGGGAACCAAAACATCACAGGCTGCAGGAACTAAGCCCGCCAGTGTCACAGAGACCCAGAGCAGCCAAAACCAAACAGTAAATAGAAACCAACTGTCTAAGAAAAAAAAAAAAGACAATCAATGACTTCAAATCCAAGCCCTACCACTCTGTGTCCTTAGGCAAGTGATTTAACCTTTTTAGTTTCTCACTAATACAGAGACTAAAACAAAATGCTTATTAGAGGACTGCTGTGAGGATCAAATAGCACAATGAGAGCTCAAACACACCAATATGTAGTACTATATTGTATTGAGTCCATGTCTATATTAACAGAGGAAAAAGCACGATAGAGGAATTTTCTCATTCTGACACATCTATGTATGCTGCAAAGACCTTACAACTTTCTTCTATCTTTTGCTTTTTCATGCCAAGAAATAAAAAGTACAACTAACAGTATGACTGAAGAACACTTGGGAAATGCACACAGAAGTTTGCATATAATTTCTAAAATTATACAATCAATTCTTGGTTACCCGCCAGAGCAACTGCGTAGCTTAATGTTCTGCTATCCTTTTCCTAGATCCAAGTCCTTGGCTCACCCCACACCTGCATTCTATAAATGCTTTTCACATCCTTTATCTCTTCCAGTCTCTATTACAACTTCATTACATGGGCAGGAATCATTATTCTGTTTTACAGATGAGAAACTGAAGCTCCAAGAGGTAAGTGATAGCTAATTAGAATGGCAAGAAGTACAACATTTCAGACTACTCCGCTGCTGATCCTTACCTCTGATTTATTAGAGTCACGGAGGTGCCTAGATTTTTCTTCCCTGCTCCTGGATTTTCGCTGGTTCTGGCGTGGTTTACAGTATTCTGTAAGATCAGCTGTGACCACGCTTTGCCAGATCCCAGTCTGCCTGTGTTCTCATCAAATCCTATGTGCTTAATATTATTTGGTACTGGCCCTGTGGTAATACCTAATCTGGAAGGTATTTGTTCCCAACAAGATAATGGTATAGAATTTAAGCCAATAATTACTTTTGTAACACCTCAGTTAATATTACGACATAATTTGGCCAGCTTTTCTTTATATTCAATATTACTTCTGTTCGTACACCAGCAGGTAGGTAACTCATTTGCTGTCAGGGCTTCTGTTAGCAAACAGTACAACTCCTGTGCCTCAAATGCAGAAATGAGCTGGAAAAAGATGCTGAGAAGAAAGGACAATAAATGTGCAAACTGATACTTGAGTCATCTACAAGAACAAGATCCTACATGAGCTGGTTACCACATCATTTTGAGTGGCAGGAAATTTTCAGTGCTTAGACATTTCTATAGCCAAGTAAAATGTAATTCTCTTTTGTGAAATGCTGTATCTCTTCATGCTTTAGTAACTGGCCTAAGTTCCATCTCCTCTGAAAATTTAATTCTGACTAGTCAAGTCCATAGTGATTCCTTCTCCTCTGAACTTGGAGACCCTGATTTTATACCAAGCTAACAATTCAGGAAAATATATGATCATTTTCCCAAGTTCATATAACGCATCTCCCCTAGAAACTTTCACGTTGTTTGAAAGATATTTTGTTTCGTCTTTTACTTTCACATTACTTACACATGTATACTGTAGTTTCCCAGCAAAAGTTCCTTGAGCTATTGATATCCATTCTTCTGCTTTCTAATACAAGTGATAATTAAACATTCACAGCCTATAGCTAAGAAGATTACATCCACATAGAAGGCCAGCATATTTACATGATACCAGAGACCAAACATGATTTGTTCCACTTCTTCAAGCAAAGTACTCTACTACTCCAAGGAAAAAAACATTTTAATGTGAAGGCTATTTTCCTAATTTTCCAAAGATTCCTGCAGAACAGGAAAATGTCTGACTGGCTGTAGAGATATTTCACATTTGCACTGTGGTTAACAACATCAAGTTATTTTTACTGGATTTCTAGATTACAGGTATCAAACATAATGCTAAGTGCATTTAAGGGTAATGTTCCCCGGCAAGTTCAGGTCACAAGGTTATTTGACAATTCCCTCTTTTCTGCTTCCTGGGTAGGAAAAAGAATTACATTTCCCTTTTTGCCTCTGTTGACTTATCCTAAATATATTTCATTAGTCTTTCAGCTACGTGGTAGTTCTTTTGAAGGTCAAAGATTCCATTAAGATATATCCACCTAGCTATAATTTCAGCTAATGAGACAATGTTAGTCAAAGTCAAAACTATAATGAGGTACCAGTCAAACTGGTCATCATCAAAAAGTCTACAAATAATAAATGCTGGAGAGGATATGGAGAAGGGGGAACCCTCCTACACTGTGGTGCGAATGTAAATTGGTGCAGCCACTGTGGAGAGCATTATGGAGGTTCCTCAAAAAACTAAAAAACAGAGCTGCCATATGATCCAGCAACCTACTCCTGTGTATATACCCATACAAAACTATTATTCAAAAAGATAAATGCACCCCTATGTTAATAGCAGCATTATTTACAATAGCCAAGACATGGAAGCAACCTAAATGTCCATCAACAGATAAACAGATAAAGAGGAAAGTATTTATTATACAATGGAATATTACTCAGCCATCCAAAGAATGCAATAATGCCTCTTATAGAAACATGGACAGACACAGAAATTATTACACTAAGTGAAGTAAGTCAGAGAAAGACAAATACCGTATGATAATCACTTACATGTGGAATCTAAAACATGATAGAAATCAACATATCTGTGAAACAAAAACAGACTCACAGATATAGAGAACAGAACTGTGGTTGCCAAGGTGGAGGGAAAGTAGGGGAAGGAAGGAATGGGAGTTTGGCATTAGGAGAGGCAAACTATTATATATACGATGGATAAACAAGGTCCTACTGCGTAGCACAGAGAGCTATATTCAATATTCTGAGACAAATTATAATGGAAAATAATATGAAAAAAAAATATAAAAGTGAGTCACTTTACTGCATAGAAGAAATTAACACAACATTGTAAATCAATTCTATTTCAATAAAATTTAAAGAAAGTTGCAGCCAATAGTAACTCAAAGCTTTGATAATGGATGGATTGTGCCATTTACAATGAACAGTAGTCTAAGAACTAATTATCCAGGCAGTTTATACATGCTTTTTTGCAATTTCTTTACCACCATGTGTAATAACAGGTATCAAACAGATATTTATCTATGAATGTATCTGCCTTTTTAACTGGTTAAAAAGTCTCAACAAACTTAGAACTAGATGCTGCCTGAAAACTAAAAAGGAAGCACAACTAAGGGTTAAAGAATGGATGCTCAGACCATCTGAGTATAAATTCTGGCTCTGCCATTTACCAGCTTTGTGATTTTGGTCGGGGGTTCACTCCTTTTGCCTCAATGTCCTTGCTTGAAATCTAGATACAATAGTAAAATCTATCTTAAGGATTTTTTGGGGTGAGAATTAAATAAACTCCAAAGCATGTTCATGAGGAACTCCTTCCTGAAGCATGCATGAAGTGAGCCATTTTCTCTACCCTGACTGGCCCCACCACTTCTTTTTAAACTATCTATCACTCTCCCTTTAAGAAGTAAATATTTATTAAGGAGAACTTAGTTTTAAGTAATGCAACACTGCCAAGGTAATCTACCCTAAAAAATCAGGATATATATAAGAAATTATACATGAAAGTTATCTAACACTGAATAAATAGAAATAATCTAAAGTATAACACTAGGGAAATGACTAAATAAAATATTATATACATGCTCTAAAGTCACATACAGGAAAATGGTATACCAAGAACTCAGTATACTAATAAATGTAATGTGATAACTAAAATATCAGTATCATAAGGTTCTTGTGTCTATTTTAAGTCAAAATGCTTAAAACATAAATAGGCATACAGTAAATCAAAGATTACTGTTAGTTAAGATCAAGTATTGCCATTATATCTATGTATAAATATTCATAAGTTTTTAGGAAATAAACCAATGATGAACAGTTTCTCTTTATTTCATTTCCCTCAAATTTGTATTTCTCAATTTCTCTACACATAAGTTTCACCAGTAGATATTTTTGTCTCCATTTCCTTTACTTCTCAACCCACCTCAATCAATTTGTGCCCCTACTCTGGTGGGGCAATTTGCCATGAGGATTTATCAATTTAAATTTCACGACTGAATTAATAATGTAACATTTAATGAGGAAATCATTATCACTTCTGAATAGGAGATATTACCTTCATGAGAGATTTCCTTCCAAGGATTCGGTGGATACATGAAAGCTGCATTCTGGATTTGGTCGTGAATGTCCTCATCTTCATTAAATGGGAACGTGCCACTTAAGCTGACATAGATGATAACCCCAACGGACCACATGTCTAGCGAGCGATTGTAGCCCTTGTTCCTTAGGACCTCAGGAGCCAGGTAAGCTGGGGTGCCCACCACTGACCTCCGGAAAGACTTCTCTCCAATGATCCGGGCAAAACCAAAATCACAGAGTTTCACCTGTTGGTAATAACGGTTTGAAGATACGGTCAGGTCGCAGATTTGTGGGTCAGTCTGTGTCCTGGTCCACAACAGCTAAAAAACAACTATAACACTTTATACATATTGTATGCATTTCTCATGGTAGAACTAATAGCTATTTTCCATTTTATGTACTTGAGGCTAGCAATTTATGAAAAGACACAAAAGTATATTTTTATTCATAAAAATATCATCTGAACATTTTTCCATCCTCCTCCCTAGAACTGAGAGACAAATGTGAAAATACGTATACATAAAAGTAGGTTATTCTGCTTTATAAGGGAGGAAAACTTCATGCAAAGTGATGGATTTAACTCAAGGACTTATTACAAATAAAGGTTGAAGGATAAGCACATGCCATCATCCACAATATCCTAAAAATTAGCTCTGCATGGACAGGAAGCCAGGATCCGACGGCATCATGAAAGCAACACAGAACAGCCACCGTGGTCAGGTCACTTCAGACATGAGGGTCTCTGGAAAGAGATCCAGTTGTTTTGCATTCTCTGAGTTGAGGAATAAAAGAAACTTCCATCTTCATCCCTGGGAACAACACTGAACTGCAGTATTCTGCCTAACATTAGACAGCTGGTAGCATCCCTGGGACTCTGAAGTTGTCTCCCTCTCAGGCCAGTGCTCCCAGCACTGACCTAGTGCTGTCTGTTCTCCAGGATGTCCTCACCACAGCAGCAGAAGCAGAATGAGAGGCCTGGTGTGCATTATATTATAAAGGCAGGCTGAACTGAGATGCAGAACGAGAAAGGCAGTCCCCATAATACAAGACGGTAACAAACGGATGACAACAGGCAGTGAAAGTTTTGAGGAGAAAGGGTGACAGAATGCAGCAAGGGAGCCAGTGATGCTGTCGGCTGCCTTTTTGCTGAGAAACGATTTCATACTTGCCTGAGGGAAAGGATCAGCTGATGCTAGCAACACGTTTTCTGGTTTGAGGTCACAATGAACAATATTTTTAAAGTGTAGATGCCGCAAAGCCACAAGTATCTATAAAGGAGAAAATCATCAACATCAGCTTATTTTAATCTAAAAGGTTGTTTCAAAATGTTCTCTACTAGGACATAAATTTAGAGGATCAAGAGAAAACTCAAAATGAACAGTGACATTTCTTTACGCTTCAGACCCTGAAATAAGCTAGCATGTTTCTAAGGAAACTTTATTGGAAAAAGTACTATATTATGGCAACCATATGGCAACCAAAACAGGTAAAGATAATAGAATTCAATGATATCTAATAGGATACACATTCCTGAATATTTGCAAAGATTTGGGACTCAGCCACTGTGCATTTTAAAATTTCATGAGCAGTTTTAATACCTGGGCCTGTACACACATTATTCATTTGGTACTGGCCTAAACCCTGACTACTATAGATATAAATTAGATAATACAATAAGCCTTTTCAATTTTTTTTTTTTTTTTTTAGTGTAATTCAGACTCTGGAGGTAGGGACTAAACAACAGGGCTAGAAAGCTCTAGTTAAACAGTGATAACATCCAATATTAAATATTACCTTTTTTATTTCCTGACTCTAATTGATTTCTTACCTGAGTAATTAAAAACTTCGTTATGTGCTCTGGCAACCTGCCCTTTTCACTTGACAAGATCATCTCCAGCATGTCTCCATGGAGCTTTTCCATAACAACAAACACTCTTTCAGGCGTCTCAAACATACACTCCAAATTTACAACACCAGGGTGATGAAGGTTCTATTAAAGATAAATAAAGCACTTGAAGAAAATGAGTTTTTTGATACTGTTTGGCAAGCTCACTGATTATACAAAACTGTTCAAGCTTAAAGCTATGGAGAAACCCACACTTAAGATTTTTAACACCTCTAAATTCCACATGTGCTGCCTTATATTTTTGAAATTCTAATGTCTCCAAAAAATACATCTTGACTTTCTGTGCACAGTGAATATTTTTTTCTATGCTATAAATCAAAATTCCAGCACAGTGAATTGCTAATTAGGTTTTAATTAGAATATCATATTGAAAAATCTGTAGTTTCTTAGGATCATCTCCAATATTAAGTATGCTGTCCTAAATAAGTTTACTAGGCCATCCATACACACTTGATAGAAATTTAATGTAGACAAGATGAAATATGTTCATGGAGTGCATCTGACTGCACTGATGAAGCACATTAATCGAAACCTTTTGGGGCTGCTGTGCTCTCGGAGGCTGCTCTAGTTTGCTACAAAAGCTCTTACACAAGAGTAAAGATACCCGTGAAAACAGCAAATATTATTGAGCCCCTGTTTTGTTCAGGACATCATGCTATGTGGTAGTGCTTCATAGTTCTCAAGCACTCAATAAATATTTCCACAATAAACTAATGGCCAATAATGATAGGCTGCATTTGGCTTGACATGTTCACTGTCACACATGTCAAGTAAAATTACTCTTAACATTAGATGGGCCCTTGTAATGATGCTTAACTCTGAATGTTGGTCTGGGGTGGTCAACAAAAGCCTTTGATCATTTGACCTTTTTTTTTTTTCCTGCACACAACAAAAAATCCTAACATTAAAAGAACTATTACATATTCCACTAATATTTCAATGAAAAATGGGGAAAAAACAAGCATCTTGAATAAAAATTACTGAAAGAAAAAAAAAACACGGACTGACTTAAATGTGTTTTAACAGTTGAACACAGGGAAGAAAATAAATCCTTTATTCCAAGGGAAAAATCTTAGTCAGCCATAAAATTAAATGCAAAATGAAAATTTCACAAATTATTAGCAACCTGCAATGGCTCGGTCTTCAGACCTCACAGACAGATGCTGGTGGTGAACAGTGGGGGGGATGTGAGTGTATCTGCACCGTCACTGCCCTCCATGTAACTCCTCAGTACAGAGAGCCTGGCACTGACCCAAAACGGACATGCACTATGGTTGGCAGTAGCTCCCATGATGAGAACCTGCCTCGCTGGATGAGAATCCCGTCCACTACTCTGGCAATTCTGCTCGCTGCCTTAGACATCAGATGAGACTTTAATATGTGCTTATTTAATTTGTATTTTCCCAGAATGTTCAGACCAAAAGTATAAAATGAATTAATGAGACTGGTTTCTGTCAACGATTTCCCCATGGACTCTGAAGGACTGTATAAATGTCCTCTAATAGCTTCTATTCTCCTCTAACAGTCCTCTAATAGGACTTTGAATACACTTAGGTATGTATTCTAGGAAATAAAGTATATTCAATGAATTCGTTGAATTAAAGGTCACGTGAATGCAACTGGTAAAAGAAATACGTCTCGGAAAAGTCTCAGCTCCTACATTCGTTGTACTTGTTCCTTGACTTCTCACATACAAAACCTTTACATTTTACAGGTTTGCTAAAGAATATATTGAATGGTAGCTGAAAAACCTTTCCAACAGCAAAATGACTTTATTTTTTCTGCATAGCTGATATATAATAAGTTGATACTTTTTGAGTTCATTATGTATGGTTGAGACAAAGCCATTACAGATGCCTACTCAAAAGTTATAGGTTTTTGCACTCAATAAAATGACCAAACTTGCTTTTACATTCGACAATAACAAAAGAAAGCAGAATATACAGAATCATGTTCATTAACAAAAATCTCTATACTGATAAGAAGTTAATTTACTGAGCCTAGAGAAGATATTTGAAGACTAGAGAGGGAAAAAAAATAGTTACTATATTGTATCATGTATCATTCATATTGCCTTTTTAACACCTTAAGGTCAACTCTAAAATGAGCTTTAATCAAAGTAGCTGATGTGACTTGTTCACAATTTTAACTTTTTATAGAAACTATGAAATAGTTTTTCAAAAATTTCCTTTTAAAGTCTAAAGTAAATTAATTAACTTAAAAATGGCTTGATGATTATAACATCAACTATGGCATAGTAGTGTTCAGAAAGAACTTTTGTTAACTTCTCAGGCCTAGCTCAGGGATTTGGATAATAAATTTCATGGCACAGTAAGCTACTACAGGACTTTGTGGCCATCTGTTTGTTACATTTAAGAAAACTAATTTTCAGGAAATGAAACATTTGGTCAAATATAGGAAAGAATAGTGTCCATTCACACATTACAGATTGATGACATATCCATGGGATGAATATGAGTTATTTTGAAGTCTGGGAGGAAATGCCATTTGGAGATCAAAACAAAAATTTTCTGACTCAAACTGCCTAGAAAGTTCTTATATAATTAATGGAAGCTAGTCATTAAAAGCAAAAGATTTTATAAAAGCAGTAATACTTTATAAATAACATTTAATTAAAATGTTTAGTTTACACATGTATTCTATTTTATATTATGCATTTTAGATTTGCATTGAGGGTTATTTTACTTTAATCTTTAAATCTAATAGTGTTGCTTTATTGTAAACCTAACATTGTGAATTCATTCCCAAACATCTAGCTGTGATCAATTAATGTCATGTTTTCCCCTTCTTCTATCTTCAGGATTATTATACTCAAACATATGAGAAGTAGGAAAGAGAAAAATTAGATTCAATATATCTATTCAACAGGTTATTTAGGAGTCAGCCTTAATGTGGGAACTTCTAACTAGTTTTCTATCAAACGACTAAGTGATTGAGGTCATACTGAGACAGAAAGGAAGAAAATTAAAGTGAAGAATCCAGGATCTAAGTTCTAAATGGCATACGGAGCAGACAGAATACACCAGCACAGCAGTGTGCAGCGGTGAGGACGGGAAGTGAGGCAGAGCAGCAAGGCAGTGGCTCTGCTGACGGTCACTCCTGAACTGAAAGAACACACCATCTTATACATTTTCAAATTACAGTCTTTTAAAATTTAGGCTTCACTTACTGACCCTAGAAACCACAATCACTTAATAACTTATGAAGAGGATATAGCATGGAACAATACCTTGATAGTTGCTAAAAAGTCAGTGTAGAGAGGAGATGATTATAAGAAGACGTGTGAAAGATAATACCCAAATTAATGTGGTCAACTCAGCTATCTCGCCTAAATTCTCTCTTTAGTTTGATAACCAGAAATTTCAAGTGGAAGAAAAGAAAATTTCCTTTTGCCTTTCACCTAAAGGGAGTTTGAAGTGTGAAGCCCACACTTAGGCTTCTCATTTGTCCTGTCTTCCTAGGTGGCTCCAGTGGTAAAGAACCCGCCTGCCAATGCAGCAGATTGAAGAAATGCAGGTTCAATCCCTGAGCCAGGAAGATCCCCTGGAGGAGGACATGGCAACTCACTCTAGTACTCTTGCCTGGAGAATCCCATGGACAGAGGAGCCTGGTGGGTTATAGTCCACAGGGTCACAGAGAGTCGGACACGACCGAAGCAACTTAGCATGAAGTATGCACGCATCTTCCCTCATGGGCTTCCCTGACGGCTCAATGGTAAAGAATCTGCCTGCCAATTTAGGAGACACGGGTTAGATCCCTGGGTCAGGAAGCTCCCCTGGAGAAGGAATGGCAACCCACTCCAGTATTCTTGCCTGGAGAAACTCAGGGACAGAGGATCTTGGTGGGCTACAGTTCGTGAGTTGCAAAAGAGTTGGGCGTGACTTAGTGACTAAATAACAACATCATCTTCCCTCATGCTATATTTTTAATCTTCAGTGATGACAGAGGTGCTTCTACTCTGATGTCAACAGGTGAGGGCTGTGTTATACCACATGAGAGCCCTCCTGACTTAACATGGGGTGGGGATCATTTGGTTGTTGCATGCAAATGTGTCCTTATTTCATGTTTGGTTGACAAAAGCCTACAATTGATAAACAGTGTCATACTCTAGTAGTTATCTTTTAGGAGGTAACATTTTGGGAATGCACACTGATAATATCTCAGAACCAATAAAGCTAACATATAATGTCAGAGGAATAAATGCACCAATATTACTTCAGTAAGACCAGATGTAACAATCCACCCTCCTGTGAATCACGGGCTGACATTTAGATCAGTGGAGTCATAACCAAATTTAACCTATTAGACTCTGTGAACTTAGAAATGACCTGATCATTCCTGGTAAAACTATTTGCATATACCATCCATCAGAACTTGCAATGTAATATTATATTTTTGTGTGGCATTAATTAGCTCAGATTGACCCTGGTTAAAATAGTTCAAAATTTTGTGGAAGAAATAAGTTGAAGCATCTCCGTTGGCTGTTAATATAATACATATATTGTGTCCAGATATCAAGAAGGGGAGTCAGCTTTTAGATGGCTAGCTTACAATGCACAATTTACCATTATTTTTTCCATCTTAAGTTACCTACACGTTCTGTACATCCTATTAAGTAACACTGGCCCAAGAAAAATGTTTTAAAGAATCAGTTCAATATTTGCATAGAAGAAAAAAAATCAGGTGAGGCCTGATATGTAATTCCTGTATTCACATATATCCATAAACCTATCTACAACCCTCTCAATCATTCTGAACTTCATCTTTTCTGGAACTGCTTTAATCTAGCTTTAGATTTCAAGGCCATTTAGGGTCCAGAGGCTGACTCTGCACTCTCAATGCAGGGGGACTGGGTTCAAACCCTAGTCATGGAACTAGATCCCACATGCCGCAACTAAGAGAATGCATGTGGCAACTAAAGATCCTGCATGCCATGATGAAGACCTAAGATCCTGTGTGCCAAAAATAAACCAAATAAGCAATAAATAAAATAGACCTGGTACAGCCAAATAAATAAACAAAACTAAATATTAAAACATTAAAAACACTTTATATATTATTTA